AATTGTTTGTGTTTGCCAAGTCTCCACCATAGCATTTTCATTCTGCGAGCTAGATGTTTGGCCATACTGCAACCAACATATTGCTTGAGATCAATTGAATCAGAGGAGCTGACTAAGGCATGATCCTAGTCTCATGACAAACATTAGCAGTTTCATTTCTAAATTGTCTGGAAGCTATATTACATTATGATTTTCTACTTCTTTGCATGATCTTGTTCGTTATTTCATGGCATCAACAAGCAAATCCCAATAAGCACATTTTGCAAGACCTACCAGTGGAGGAACCATGGAAATCTTTGTGCAGTGGGTGATTGTTCCTCTCAAATTAGGCATTGAATTCTATGGCTTTTTCAATTCCTTTGTTGTCATTGTTCTGGGGTGATTTTGATGCAGCACTGTGCTCTCTGCTTTCTCCTACCTGCCAATGTTTGTAAACCACTATATCTTATAAGCTTATACAGAAGTAATTAATTAAATCAACTGGAGACTCTTGAAACTCGGAATTGTCCTAGTCTTTTCTTTTGAATTTCGCTGAGAATACGGAATCCTTGCTATTAACTTAACCATCAAACTCAATGCAAACAATCCTAACTTGAAATTAATAATTATACATTACGAGTGAATTTAGGAGCTTGCTTCACCTTTGCTTTGGCTTCTAATTCATCCAGAGTTACACATTCTGGTTTGATATTTCTAGCTGCAAGTTCCAGCTTCTCAACCTTTTCGACCCTTGATTCTTCATCAGTGCTGTAAGTTCTTGCAATATCAGGCTTTTTTGGAGGCTCCATATGTTTTGGGGAGGAGATATGTAACCCATTGAACTTATTCTCAATGAAGCCTTTCTTTTCATCTAGTGGAACTACACCATGGAGTGATTCGATTGTTTGTGTTCGCCGACTCTTCATGAGAACAGCAAGTTCATCATCTGAGCTACTCGTTGGGCCATACTACAATGCAGGAGATGAAACATATTGAAGAAAGATAAATGGCTGAGGCATAATCTTAAACAGTTAAGCTGATGACGAACATCCAAGGTTTCATTTTAAATGTGTCTGGAAGCTGTATCATATGTTGATATGTTCTGCTTCACTTCTCTAAGGTGATCTTTTTTGATGCGTAACAGCTGCATCACTTGCAATGTTCTTTGGTAGAATGTTTGCCATTCTAGTACATCTCTAATTGAAATTTAGGGTGTGTTTGTTTGAGTGAAAGAGTTTTCCACGAATTAGTTTTCTGGAGTTTCACTCGTTTGATTTGCTGAAAATGATCAGTCAAAGAAAATATTCATGCTTAAAGATAAGAAAATGAATTCCCTAACCTGAAAATGGGAAAACATTTTCCTGGAAAAGAATTTTCCGGAAAGCATTTTCCTTTACCATAAAAATTTCCCCAAAACAAACACAACCTTAATAACACAAGAAAAACTTCCCTGAGATTTCTCTTTTCTAAATCAGTTCTTCTCCTAAAGATAGTAAAGGTAAACAAGCAATATAACCAACTGAAACTTCACGAAAAGAATTTTGACCTGTGTTTGCATGTGATCTCTGTCAAAGTAGTCAAATTGCAACTGGTCGGATTCATCAATAAAAGCAACTCTATTGTCCAACGAGAAGTCTGCAAAAGATGGACTTCTGATATTTATAGGCTCGTTGGAATAGGGTCGGTATTCGACTTTTTCTGATTGGAAAGAAGCCTGCGGGAAGAATGATGAAATGAAGTGAACTCGGTTGTCCTGCTGAAATGAGGGCTCTGTCGCTGAGTTTACCCCTGCCTGATACGAAGGCTGTTATCAAGAGTAAAAAGGTTAGTTATGAACATGCTTCATAAATTATGTTCATGAACAGAACATTTTTTTTCTTTCTCACTACCAAAAATGAGTTTTTGTGTTGAGGTTGATGAAATTCTGAATGCAAGTCAACCGTGCTAGACGGTGAGTTTCCCACTGCCTGAATCCATTGATGAAATGAGGGCTCTGTCGCTGAGTTTACGCCTGCCTTATACGAAGGCTGTTATCAAAAGTAAAAAGGTTAGTTATGAACATGATTCATAAATTATGTCCATGAACAAAACATTTTTTTCTTTTCTCACTACCAAAAATGAGTTTTTGTGTTGAGGTTGATGAAATTCTGGATGCAAGTCAACCGTGCTAGATGGTGAGTTTCCCACTGCCTGAATCCATTGATGAAATGAGGGCTCTGTCGCTGAGTTTACCCCTGCCTGATACGAAGGCTGTTATCAAAAGTAAAAAGGTTAGTTATGAACATGCTTCATAAATTATGTCCATGAACAGAACATTTTTTTTCTTTCTCACTACTAAAAATGAGTTTTTGTGTTGAGGTTGATGAAATTCTGAATGCAAGTCAACCAAGCTAGACGGTGAGTTTCCCACTGCCTGAATCCATTGCTGTTTTCAAAAGAAAGAAGATTAGTTACAAACATGTTTCACAAATTATGTCCCTGAACAGAACGTTTTTTCGTTCTCACTTCCGGAAATGAGTTCTGTTTAGGTTGATGAAGGTCTGAATCCAAGTCAACCAAGCCAATTGGTGAGTTTCCCACTGCCTGAATCCTTCGCTGTTTTCAAAAGTAAAAAGGTTAATTATGAACATGTTTAAAAAATTATGTCCATGAACAGAACATTTTTCATTCTCACTTCCACTAATGAGTTCTCGTGTTCAGGTTGATGAAGGTCTGAACCCAAGTCAACCAAGCTAATTGGTGAGTTTCCCACTGCCCAAATCCTAGGCTGCTTTGGAAAAGAAAAAAGGTTAATATTGAACATGCTTCACAAATTATGTCCATTAACAGAACATTTTTTTATTCTCACTCTGGAATATGAGTTATCGTGTTCAGGTTGATGAGGGTGTGAATCCATGTCAATCAAGCTAATGGCTCCATCCTTAGATTGTATGGTTGAAATATCGGACTTCTCATCTCCTTTGTGCTTTAAGCGACAGAGGACATAATTCTTGGTCAGCTGTCAAACAACCATGTTATCTGAGTCCACAAGACTTGATCCTATCCTACTTAAATTCCAGGATCCTACTCCATTACAAACTTCTGTAGTGGAAAATGAGGAAGAACAGTATCATTGCTTTTGGCTAGTCAAAACTTTTGAATTGGATGATTCTGCAGATTATTACAATACTCAATGAACGTAGTAAACGAGAAGAAATAAATGAGGGACAGATTGCGTACATAGTGTGGAAACAGTTCATCCAGATTGTCGGTCAGTATATGATATTCGTGGACGACCCAGTTGGTCTTGATGCCCTTAGAGCTCCGACCTTCATGAAAGACCAATGTTTTCTTAGTACCAATTGCTCTGTTCTTCTCTCTAGCCTTGATAGTCCTATCAACACCAGTCTTCTTCCAATATCCCAAGCGAGTCAATCTTTGAATTCGTTGCATTTGTGGACAGAAGAACCACCACTCTTGAACTTTGTCATCAGAAGGAATGATTGATTGCTCTGTCAAGTTCAATTCAAATATAGTTAATGAAGAACTTATCCCTTTCTTTTCCTACAGATGAAAGATACATATCTTATAAAGTGACACTTCACCATTATATACCGTTAAACTCTGATTCCAGCGGTACATTCCGCAAAATATTCACTGATGCATACACTATCTTACTGCAATTGCCGTAGAACTTTAGGATAGCATGATGCCACATTTATAATTATAAGGTATCCGTTACAATGCCATAACTCGCCTAAAAAGACAGGAAAGATGATAGTAACATCTTGTTCTTTACCCTTAAATCTTTGTGCTAATTCCCAAGGCTCCCACTTGCAGATATCGACCTCGGGAATGATGCAGATGTTGTCTATGAATCCGAGCACTTTCAGCTTCAAGTAATGATCGACCAATTCCTCGTCGGTTGGGTGAAATCTGTATCCAACCGGCAGATTCTCTGGGATGATCACAGTTGCCATCTTCTTCTAATTCTGTTACTTCACTCTCACACAAGCAAACTCACCTCAATTTGTCGACGCAAAAAAAAAGAGCTTCAAGACCTTGCACTTGGGGGTCTTCATTGAAGTCTTTCCCTTCTTTGAGAAGTTGCATAACTTTTGGTCCTTTTTCTTTGTCTGCTTCTTGTGGTGCTGGTGGATCCCATCCTATCACTCAAGGACTATTAAAGATTCTCATATCACTCTAAAATGTCAGTGTTCACTAAAACTTTCTTGCCGTATTTTCTGCATTACATAGAAAGCCATTGTTATTTATTTCCTTCTTATTTACAAAGTATAACTGATGTAATTATATGAGAAACCATGTCTTTAGAGCCATCTGAATGCATTCACAGTCCAATAAAAAACAAATACATGTCTACGAAATCTCAGGATCGTTCTTGGGGGATATGCCCGGAATGTATCACCAACTACAACAGGAAACTTTTCCCTTTTATCTAGACATACCTAATTCAAATTGAGCTCACAATCAGTTTCTGCCAATGGAAGTCCTAAATGAACATCAAACAAATGAATAACGCACCATATTTTTACCAAAAAAAAAAAAAAGAGGGCTACACTGTACAGGGTTCTTTGAGTGCCGATGCCAACTATACCACGTCCAAGTGGTATTTATCAGTTGAAAAACATGCCGGTTTATGACTGAGCATAATTATAATTACCTTCCTCTAAACCTCGAACTGACAATATACATTATCTATTTGATCGCAGGGAATTTGAGAACTGGTTCTTTCTACCTTCTTTCTGGTGCACTTTTCGTATAAAAAATGTGCAAGTCAATACAGTGTCACTCTCATCGATGAGTTGATTATTCACGATGCTTCTGATTAAAGAGATTATGGTCATCAACTGGAGAAATTCGAAAGATTGGGAGGTCCAGAAAGACAGCTTCAGCATAAGGATAAATATTGAATCACACAATATGAGCACAGCATCCAGCACATTCGAAGTAATAACCCAATTACAGGTTATCGATTACTGACATGTGAATAAATGTGTTGGAAAGTGTTACAATGAGGTGAATTTCAGCAGCAAAAATCATATTTCTTTATTCACTTTTGAGCTTTCTTGAAATATCATCATCAACTGGCATTACAGATTCTAGGCCAAAAGAAAATGAAAAAGTAGCATGAATGATTCCATCGTAGAATTACATCAAAAAATAGATACATAAGAACATAAGATAATGCTAAAAGGGAGAACTGGAAATACAACTAATCTTCAAACTTAAGGTTGAGTCTGACTTTTTCTACTGTATATTCTTGAGCTGAGAACAGGTCTTCATATGACCAAGTCCTTGAGCTGAGAACTCTTAATGAGATACTTGTATTCTTTCATAAGCATCCCCACAAGAGAGAAGATACTCATTATACTACACTGTTGAATTAGTCGATGCTGTTCTGATAATTAAAGTGCAATAGCTATGAACTAATTTGGAGAATACAGATAGAAAAGTAAAATTTAATTTCTAATGCAAAGCTCATTGTACTCCACAATAAGCGTACTGCCTTTGTTGAAATTTTCTTCAACAATGTAACCACTTCTTCAAGGTATCTTAATCTTCTCACAATTGCTTTTCTCATATCTGAGTATCACCTTGGAACTATCTAATTATCAGCCTTCTCATCTTGTATTCCTTGGGAAGGTCAAGAGCGGATTATCTGATCACATAAAAAAAAGGAATCAAACATTAGTTTTGGCCAATATGGAAAAGTAGCAGAATGCATCAATCATGCTCTTACATGTCAGTATAATATCGATAGGCTTGACAACTATATACCGTAATCAACAAAGCCTAAGACAGTACTGAGGTCAAGTACACGTGTATCACCCGATGGTTGATCAAAATGGATTTTACTCATGGGGCAAAAAGTTTGTTTTGCTTACCACTAAAGGTCAGCTGATGAGGATTAAGAACATAAGAGGTTTTTCGGAAGAATCGAAAAAAAAAGGACTCTTAATCTGCTAGAAAAAAACTGAAAAAATAAATAAATATGATTACCTGATCAGGGACCTATGCCACGAAGAAGTGGCATTTAGGTGATATTCGTGCATGACCTATGCTCGTATTTTTCAAAGAGAAAACACGAGCGAAACGGGCTACTACTATTCATTCTTCTTTTCTGCTTCAAGTAATGATTGACGAGTACTTTTGTGGCTGGCCTAACCACGAATCCCACAGGCGAACACCCTCACCGCTGTTTCGGTTTCTTTCATCTCAGCGTCCGCTGCAACAAAAGAACGGAGCAGGGGACGAAACGTTTGAGCTAGGATGGGGAGGTTTTGATATCCAAACCTAAGAGGAGAAGAGATGAATTTATACTGCCCTGGCATTGTGGTTTGAGCCATGCCCGGGGTTGTCTGGTGCAGTCCTTTTTTGACTTCTTTGCCCTTTCTTGGAAAGTAATCTACCTGCTATTTCGTAGATCTTTGTTTGTTTGTTTATTTATATTCTTCATCTTCAACTTGCTTCTCAAGTCTGAGAACTTCCTGCAGAAGTTGAGATTTAAATGCTGGCCCTACCATGTTGCGCTACAGGTCAATTTATTCGCCTGCTTTATTGGATATCTTTTCCTTTCTATTGGACAGCGTTCGGTGGAAGGGAACTCGAGCAGCGACAAAAAGTGCCAAAAGCAAATGAGGCTCGTCATGTCGGTTTCACAAAATAAAAAATAAAAAAGTTAACTTGAAAGGGATTTATTTCGCAGAAAAAATAAATAAGTTGAAAATATTTTCGTTGAAATATTGCTCGTACGATTTACAAAATTAAACGAACGAAAAATATTTTCATCGTTCGTGAAATATTTAGACAAATTATTATCGATAATTAAATTTTTTTCTTGAACTAATTATTTCAAACGATACGAATGATCATTTTTTTAAATAGTAATATTATAAATCATTCGTCTTTTCGCAAAATAAACGGAGCCTAAGAACCTTAGAAACACTATAGCTAACACTTAAGTCCTCTTCATGTTGACTTTACACCAGTGAAGCTCCTAACATATAAGCCCGAGTGCATGAAGCGTCGTAACGAGATGAATCGAGTCTCACATGATACCAAGAACAAATTCACGAGATGAGTTGCTTTCAACCCGATTTCGTGGTTCCTAATACCGTCCTTTCAAAACTGGCGAGTGATGGGCGGCACGAGTTCTTGGCCCATCTGGCGTTGCTCGAGTGGACTTCCACCGATAAGTCTACTTACATCTCTGCACATTGTCTTTCACTTGTAGGAAAAACAGGAGAGCACTGCTGTTCATAAAAAGATCAAAAACAAACCAAAAAAGGTTGAGAACACAGCATAGCTGTATCTTTTTCTTTCAAGTTCTGTTTTTGGCCATAATATCTTACTTTTTCTCATGCATTGAGAGCATAGCGCTTTATCAAGTAACTAGCTTGCAAACCCCGTGCTATGGAATAAAATTTTCTTTTGAATTAAGTAAACAATACATATTTTTTTTTTGGTAAAGTAAGTAGTATATAACTTTTCAACGCGCAATATACAGCAAGTGAGGCCGAACACAAAAACCTCGTACCTGAGGAGACAAAAAGTATCCCGACCGGTACAAAAGTGGATCTCACATGATACCAGACAAATTCACGTACCAAGAACAAATTCACGAGATGAGTTGCTTTTAACCTGATTTCATGGTTCCTAATACCTTCCTTTCAAAACTGGCGAGTGGTGCGCGGTACGAGTTCTTGGCTCATCTGGCGTTGCTCGAGTGGACTTGCACCGATAAGTCTACTTAAGTCTCTGCACATTGTCTTTCACTTGTAGTAAAAACAGGAGAGCACTGCTGTTCATAAAAAGATCAAAAACAAACCAAAAAAGGTTGAGAACACAGCATAGCTGTATCTTTTTCTTTCAAGTTCTGTTTTTGGCCATAATATCTTACTTTTTCTCATGCATTGAGAGCATAGCGCTTTATCAAGTAACTAGCTTGCAAACCCCGTGCTATGGAATAAAATTTTCTTTTGAATTAAGTAAACGATACATATTTAACCATTACTAATAATGAAGAAAGTTCTTTTATTAAAATATCATTTTATTATCTTGATATGTGATTAAATAAGAAGAAACTCTAATTAATCATGCATGTAAAGTATATGATCTTAGGTAGGTAAATAGTTACACATTTTGACTTGATAATCTACCAACAATTAGCGAAAATTCCTCATATTACAGAATTTTCAATTGTTTTCTGTTAGTTATGTTTTGACTTGAATTGACATTTGTCTGTCAGTGTTACCTTAATTATTTTGTATTAACCTTCATTTGATGCAAAGTATTAGTGAAAAGTGTACTTAACTCAAAATCACGAAATTCATTCCAATAACTTATGTGTAAAAAATTAACTTTCTTTTATGCCACTTTAGTACACTCATGATACTTCTAAGAACTTACATTGGCTACATAGGTCGATAAGTGCATACATAGATATTAACAAATAGTTCATCAACTTACAATTAAATGTTACTAGATTCATTATGATCTTGTTTATATTCGGCGAAACTGCACCAAAAGTACCTAAAGTGTTTTGTCCAATGCGCAATCAAGTAATTAATGTTTTGAATCCAATGCAATCAAGTCTTTTCGACAACTGTATTAGGCCAATTTGTTGGCGTGGCATGTCGGCATCCGGTGTGCCATTTTTTAGTACTTTTTAAAAAACTGGCACCATGTCAGAGAAGTTAAATTTTCTTTTTGGGAAAAAAAAAACATAGATATTTAACAGGCATGACACCATGCCATTGCCTGCTTGCGGTGAGGGTCACTGGTAATGTGATAAAACCCTTTCATTCTCTCTCCTTTGCGATCTTTCCTCTTAGTATTTGGGTTTTTTCTTTTTGTGATTCTCCATTTTTATTTTTACGTTTTATTTCGTAATATTTAACCTATTTATGTGCACAACGTATGCCAAAGTAATACTAACATGTGCCACGTTGGATTCCGGAATGCCGGATCAACCAATTTGCCTAAATGGTCACCGGAATGACTTAACAACGTCGATTTGATGAGTATGTTTAGGACTTACTTGCACATTAGGCAAATGATTAGGACATTTGGTGTGATACTACCTTACATTGCAGACTACTCTGGTAAATTCATCATGGTAAATTATTAACTATACTTGTGAAACTTGAAAAAGGTTGGTACTTATTTATTTAATGAGATGTTAGTAAATTCCTTATGGGGATGATATTTTACAAACCACACATGTAAATTTTCAAAGAAATTGTTAGCAATTCTTATAACGTCGGTAGTTTACTAACAATAGTTGAAAAATGTGAAAGAAGTTGGTAAATTACTAATTTATTGGGATGCTTGGTAAATTCATTATAAGGTTGGTATTATACTAACCGCGTATGAGGGCAATTTACTTCTTGAACTTGTAACATTTCAAAGAAGTGGGTAACTTGTTAACTTAATGGAGTATTGGTAAATTTCTTATAAGATTGATGTTTTTACTAGAATCTCCGAGAAGTTGGTAATTTACTAATCTGTTACATTTACAAAATGTTGCTATTTTACTAACTACACTAGTTAGAAATCCCTGAGCAATTTCATAAATCTACCAACTACGAAAATTTTTCCAGCTTTTCCCGTGACTCGACCCTACACTCGATCCACTATAATGCGCTTAATCATAGGTTTGGCAAGGCTTCTAAATGCCGGTGGATCAAGCTTTTCCACATGTTCGGCCGCTGGATAGATCCCTGTTTAGTGAATCAATTTCTGCTCAAGGTGGAATCTCTTGGTCTGTTGCTACACCGTGGGAAATTAAAGGCACAGAAGCTCGAGTTGCTCATCAAGACCATCAAGCACATCCCTTTCGGCAGCCTCCGCCGGTTTGACCCCTAGCTGAGCTCGACACGGTTTGGTGTCACCAGAGAATTCTTTCTCCTCGATTGGTTCGGATTTGGAGGTATGTCTAGGAACCCGGATCTTCCTTCTTACATTCTAAAACCGCGAAATGGGCTTGAGAGGTATTTGAGAAATGCCCGAGAGAGGAGTGCTGTTTCGTGGAGTGTCGTGATCGATGCCTTGGTTCTGTTTGGTGAGACCAATGCTGCAAGGGAATTGTTCTGGGAGATGCAGAAGTTGTCTGAGAGTGCTTGCATCGTAAAAGATGAACAGTAACAATGACGAGCGCTGAGTAGATAAAATCAAGACAAGTATACAAATGGTGACAAAAAAATAATAGTACAATAGATTGATATAATGTCCTCTCCTGGGAGAAGCATAGTTGGTATACAGCATTATCGCTGATATAATAAGCAAGGTGGAGATTAACATATATGAAGGGCCTCAAACACTGGCAATCCATTATCACAATTCACAACTAATCTTTGCAGCATAATCTAAGCATAGTTTGGCATACTAATCCTTGCTCTCGTCGAATTTGAAGAGATCCGCGAGATTGATACAGTCGTTTGGAGAATATGGCATACTAGGTTCATCGACATCCGGATGATCATCATGAGACAAGCGTTGCTCTTTGCTCATTTGAGGCTGCTGCTCAGGAGTAGGCACATTCTGGTCTGGTAAACTAGAATTTGACGTCTCGTTCAGATCGTTGGCTTCAACAGTAACTCCTGTAGATTCCTGAGCGGAAAAAAAGCAAAAAGAAAGAACAAACAGTACTCAAGCTTTAGCATGGTTAGATGTAACTCTAGGTCATATGTCCCTTTGATCAATCTAAAGCAACACTGGCTCACCTGTGCACTAATTTCTTGTGTTTCTTCGTTTGGATAATCATCCAGATTGCTAGGGCCGCTTAAATCAGATGAAGAACTCGCTGTTGCTGATTTTGCTTTCTTACTTTTCCTGTTAATTATGCGACAGAGAACTGACCCCGTCTACAAAGACAAAATGATACCAGGGATGAGTTTCAGGGTTAAGATAACCGAAACTCCATTGTTGCACAAAAGTAGTTTATGCACAAGATTTATCATGCGTCACTTATCAAAATTTAAGTAATTCTAATTTCAAGAACAAATTGTCCCCTTTGTTGCTGCAGAATCGCTCTACTTTTGGCAGCATATCCTTCAGTAGTACTGGAACTAAAGCACCAGTCATGAATCTGTCACTTAAAATGATTATCCGTAAGTTTCGTTTCTCGATCTTCCTCATGAAATACTACGAAATACAGTAGGAAAGGTTCTGACTCTAGGATACTAATGTTCCAACTTCCAAGTACAGCTAGAATTAAAGGTAAATCGCACTTAATCGTGGGACAGAGGGAGGAACTAGCTTATCATGAACTCAGAAAGCCAGAAACATCAAGAAGCTGAATGAGGAACATATGTAGAGAAATGATTATATCAATTTTTCCGGCACTTGTAACCATATTAGAGATGCTTAATTAGAAGAAGCAAAAGAAGAGAAGTTGAGTACCGGGTCCGAAATTTCAGTATCCGAAACATTCGAATTTAGGTGATATTCATGCATGGCCACGTCAGTCTTGCGACCATTTGGTTGTCGACCTTCATAGTAAACCGAAATCCTCTTGGTCCCTATTGGCTTACCAGTGTCCGGTGCTCGTATAACACGTTTTGTACTGGTCTCTTTCCAAAATCCGCGCTCTGTCTTCCTCTTTCGACCACGGGGACAAAAGAAGAAACACTCGCATCCATCTGACGGTATACTTGATAATGCTACAACCAAAGATTGGTTAGGCAACTGCCAATTACCATCATACCATAAGAGAATAGAGAAATAGAGAACACCAAGCACTAAATGCAAGTTACCGTCATATAGGATAAATAAATCCGGAGGCTCCCAGTTGTAGATATACAGCTCGGGAATCAAGCAAATAGTTTCCGTTCCTCCCCTGAGCTTTTTTGTCAAGTGATGACCGACGAGCTCGTCCTCTGTCGGTTTGAATCTGAGTCCCACCGGCCACGCCTCCGTTGATTCTGCCATGCTTTATGCTTGCTGTCTCACATTCAATTCTGCAATCGAAAAAGAGGAGAAGAGTAGAGAATGGGGCTATTGAGATAAGCAGAGGAAGAAGAGAAGAAGAACAGAGGAAACAGAGCTTACTCTTGGCTTGGCTTTGCTTGGGAGTGTTTACTCCAAACACTTCCGGGTGGGTCACTTTATAAACGCACAAAAAAGAAGCAAGCCTTGTTTGAGAAGGCAAACTACTGTTCAAGTGGATCCCACCTCAAGCTCAAGACGACGACGACGACGACGTTTTCACTACGAGCAGCTTCTGGGAAGGCCACAAACGCATATTTAACTGGGTTACTAGGACCCATCTGGTTATTTGAGCCGATGAGTGGTGTTTCATCAGTAAAGAAGATTCTCGAATTCCTAGCCACAATGATAGTTTGAGCAGTGACGTTGAAAGTGGAAGAGATAAAAATATTCTCCTTAGTACGATTCCAAAGCACAATTGATTCTCTTTTCATATTATACGCATGTTAATCTTAAAGAGGAGTGTGAACTTTCGGGGAAAGGTCTCTTTTCATATAGTCGCCACTGTATGTGATGTAAGTGCAGAAGTTTAGTTGGGTAACTGATTCTTATGTACACGTTGTTGAAAAACATTCCTATGATATTTTGATAATTACTGAAATATCTCTGAGTTCTAACATTTATTATGACGAGTGCATATAGTGAAATTGTTTTTATATCATCAATGATCTTGGTTTGCCAAGACACTAGGCTTTGACGTGTTGGACTTACAAGTACAAGTAAGAGTAATGTCTCGAAGTTACTTTATAGTATCAGTCAAGCTGGTATCCCTAGAAGTCCTTTTGATATTGATAAGGATTGCAGGATCATTGATCTTAACATCTTGAGTCATTTAGTTGTTATTGTCACTGAAGATAGTAAGGCAGGTTACTCACAATCAGCATTGGTGATAATATGCATGTGATAGTGATAGTGATGCAGTAGGATTGATAATAGCGAGATACGCCCCGGAAAGATGACCGTTGATGGCTCAGAATGTAGTCGTTACAAGACTGGATTCCATATTCGAAAAACTGAGAAAGCAATTAAAAAAGCAATTGACATTTTACTGTTCTGATAGATGCAGCAGGCCTATCAGGAAACCTAGATTGTCAGAAGAAGCGACTATAGGAGCAGTGCCGATTCTTCCAAGGTCTCCTCCAATGACTCTCAACAACTAGCTGATCTCCAACGGACAAATTGAGGACCTTAGTGTATGAGGAGCAGTGATGCTATGTATCGCTCTCTGTATTGGTTTAGTAGTAGAACAACTGACAGTGGAGTGCATAACAATATATGTATCCTAATAGTATGATCTATCAATTGAAAGGAACAATACTAGCCAGTTATAACTTGCTTTGCTTACTAATGGTCGAATCTAACCGCTGTTAAGGCTGTTAGTCTGAGAGTATACGTAGGCATGTGTACAAAGCCATACCACTATATATCACTGAGTGATTGTCTTCATTCATTCTGATCTGCTTGTCATCATCACACACGCTATTCTATTTAAGTTGCCATCTTGATTGTTGATTGTTTAGTATTGCGCAAAACCTTTTATTATCATCACTCAACCTATTCAACCCCCTTTTGGGTTGCTTTGTTAGCTCCAACATACACGTCGTCTTTCCGATAACTGTCACAAAAAAAAAATCTTGTTCATTACTAGTTGAATTTGATTACTTACTGGTTCTACCAGACATTTAATTACCAACCTTGTATTAACTCGAAGGCGTTGTCTGAAGGAATGTATTAGTAAATCTTTCCATTGAAGTAGGTAAATTTGACATCGAGGTAATGAAATTTGATATGATATATCTCCATAAATCATATTTGATTAGATTGTGTCTTTGAAATTATAAGATAACCGTTAATCTTCCATTTTCTTTTGGCTCCTATTTCTTATCTATGTTGGTAAATTTTTGTTAATTGGTACTTTACTAACTACACTAGTAATAATTCAAAGTTGATAAGTTCCTAACTTACTGAAATGTGGGTAAATTATTACAGTGGTGGTAGTTTACTAACCATACTAGTGACAATTGGTAATCTACTAATTTGTTGGAACGTTGGTAAATTTCTAATAGTGTTGGTAATATGCTATTGGGATCGGGTAGCAAAACCTCGACACCTTTCGCTGGGGGAGCTCGCCAAGAGAGAGCTTAAGTCCAAGCCTATTAACATATCAAATTGGACCCAAACTTCATTCAAAAGTTAAGCCGGTGAAATTTTCTCACAAAATCAATCTACCATCGGTTCTGATAATATTAAGAATGCGCAACAAAAACCCTATATCTTTTGCCTAGGGAGATCACCAAGAGAGGGCCAAAATCTGAATCTATTAACATATCTAGTTGGATCTATCTTTTCAAAAGCTTAAGGTAATGAGTTATGAGCCAACTATGATATATTAACTGCTCTACACCATATCAATTTTCCGATGTAGGATTTCTCTAATATAACTCACACGTGCATCATAAAATATACATACAAGTTACTTGACATTCGAGTTACCGGTTATACGTCTTTCACCATTGTTGTTAGAATTTGACTGGCAATTCTATGATTCTACCAACTACGAAAAATTTTCCAGCTTTTCCCGTGACTGGACCCTAGTTGCATCCAATACAATGTGCTTAATCATAGGTTCGGGAAGACTTCTAAATTCCAAAATTTCCCTCCATGCATAGGGGGAAGCTCAAAATAAGAATGGTCCATAGGCTTCTCCCTTTCGGCTTAAGATTTCTCACAAGTTGAAACATTACAAAGCATGCTAACCTGATTATAGCTTAATTCGTTGAATTAGATATAGAACTCAATTTGCAGCATTTGTGTCTAGTGGAAGATTGAAAATCATGAAAGGAGAATGGTCCATTTCGTTGTTCCTTTGATTTACTTTTAGTGATTCTAGAGATTAAAAGTGTCCACTCTGAGGGGTGTGTTTTAAATTCAGTTTTTCCTCATTTTTACACAAAATATGCTTTTAATTTTCAATTGATACTCATAATTAATCAAGTCATGCACAAATATAAGAACAAAAGTTGCATGTTTTATAACTTGATTATGGTTGAAATCATGCTTGATTTTATAAATAAATGGCATCTAGATGCGACTTGGTAGTGAGGTAGTGACTTGATTATGTTTGAAATCATGCTTTATTTTGTGAGAAATTGTTAGAAATCCTACCATCCAGATACCACCAATACCCATAATCAAATCATACACCTAACAAACAACAATGACCAAATGTGTGCTTCTTTTTTTTTTTTTTCATCTTTCAAGGTGAAGGTGTGGTGTCGCCGTTTGAGGAGAGAGGAGAGTCAGCGAAAAAGAACTACTTTACTTTATCTATCGTCATGGTGGGGTGGTGCCCCCATTGAGGAGAGATTAGAGGCGGCGAGAAATCGGAAGAGATTCAGAAGCCCATCGTCGGGAGTACTCGGGCCATTGATGGGGAATAGGTCTTTACCAACAAATCACTTCACAAGTCATGCGCATGGACTTCAGATCTTACAACTATGGAGGAAAGTCTCATATTGCAAGCCCTCTCAAAGGTTTGACGAATAGATATTGATGCATGACCAGTATTGAGTAGATAAAATCAAGATAAATATACAAATTATAAGGAAACAATAATAATACAATATACAAGGGTACAAGATTGATATGGTGTCCTATCGTCTGAGAAGCATAGTTGGTACACTGCATTATCACTGACATAATTAGCAATGCTGAAAGAAACATTTATAAAGGACCTCAAACAGTCATGATCACTCTAATTTGGCATACTAATCAGTGCTCTCGTCATAATTAAAGAGATCTGTGAGATCCATACAGTCGCTTGGAGAATTTGGCATAGGACAATGTCTGTCACTAGGTTCGTCAACTTGCCAATGATCATCACGAGACAATTGTTGCTCTTTGCTCGTTTGTGGCTGTTGATCAGGAATAGGCACATTCTGGTCTGGTAAATTAAAAGTCGACGTCTCGTTCCGATAGGGGACCTCAACAGTAACTCCAGGAGATGCCTGAGTGACAAAAAAGAAAAAACGAAGGAACAGTCAGTCTTGAGCTTTAGTATAGTTAGTTGTATCTCCAGATCATATCTTCCTTGGTATCAATCTAAAGCAACACTTCCTCACCTGTGTACTAATTTCTTGTGTGTCTTCATTTTGGGAATCATTCAGACTGCTAGGACCACTTAAATCGGTTGAAGTACTCGCTGTTGCTGACTTTGCTTTCTTACTTTTCCTGTTTATCATGCGACAGACAACCAACGCCGTCTACAAAGACAATAGGATACCAGGGATGAGTATCAGGGTTACGATAACCGAAACTCCCTTGTTGCACGAAAGTAGTTTATGCACGAGATACATCACGCGTCACTTATCAAAAATGTAATAATTCTAATTTTTAAGAACCAATTGTCCCCTTTGTTGCTGCAGAATCACTCTACTTTTGGCAGTATAACCTTCAGTAGTCACTACAACTGAAACACCAGTTATGAATCCATCACTTAAAATGAATATCCATAAGCTTCGTCTCTCGATCTTCCTCAAGAAATTCTACAAAATGCTGTAGGAGAGGTTCTGACTCGCAGATACTAAGGTTCGAACTACAGCTGGAATTAAAGGTAAATCGCACTTAAATCGTGGGACAGAGGGAGGAACTAGCTAATCATGAACTCAGAAAGCCAGAAACTTCAAGAAACTGAATGAGGAACATATGTAGAGAAATGATGATATCACCTTTACCTGCACTTGTTAAATATGTTAGAGATGCTCAATTAGGGGAAGCAAAAGAAGAGAAGTCGAGTACCGGGTCCGAAATATCACTATCCGAAACATTCGAATCTAGGTTATATTGGTGCATGGCCACATCAGTCTTGCGGCCCTTTGGTTGTCGACCTTCATAGTAAACCAAAATCCTCTTGATCCCTATTGTCTTACCGGTGTCCGGTGCTTGTATAACACGTTTGGTACTCGTCTCTTTCCAAAATCCGCACGCAGTCTTCCTATTACAACCACGGGGACAAAAGAAGAAACACTCCCGTCCATCCGATGGTATACTTGATAATGCTACAACCAAAGATTGGTTCGGTAACTACCAGCTACCATCATACCATAAGAGAACAGAGAAATAGAGAACACTAAGCACTAAATGCAAGTTACCGTCGTATAGGATAAATAAATCCGGAGGCTCCCAGTTGTAGATGTACAGCTCGGGAATTACGCAAATGGTTTCCGTTCCTCCTCTGAGCTTTTTTGTCAAGTAATGACTGACGAGCTCATCCTCCGTCGGTTTGAATCTGAGTCCCATCGGCCACGCCTCCGTCGATTCTGCCATGCTTTATGCTTGCCGTCTCACATTCACTTCAGCGATAGAAAAAAGAGGAGAAGAGTAGAGAATGGGGCTATTGAGATAAGCAGAGGAAGAAGAGAAGAAAAACAGAGGAAACAGAGTTTACTCTTGGCTTGGCTTTGCACGAGAGTGGTCGACTCCAAGCACTTCCAAGTGGGTCAGTTTATAAGCACAAAAAACAAGTAATTTTCTTTGACCCTTGTTTGAGAAGGCAAACTACTGTTCAATTGGATCACACCTCAAGCTCAAGACGACGACGTTTTCACCAAGAGCAGCTTCTTCGAAGTCCACAACGCGTATTCAACTGGGTTAATAGGACCCATCTGGTTATTCTAGCCAAAGGAAGCATATGGCAGATACCTTCATGACCTTGTCTATGCAGGAATAAGCGCGTGATGGTATGAAGTTGAGTAGCGTTTCTTCTGTGAAGAAGACTCTAGAATTTGATGCAGATCATGATGTGAAGTTGTCTCGAGTGTTTCCTCAGCGGGGAAGATTCTGGAATTCCCAGCGACAAGGATAGTTTGAGCAGTGACGTTGAAAGTGGAAGAGGTGAAAAGATTCTTCTTAGCACCGTTCCAAAGCACCATCGATTCTCTTTCGTATATTATAATGCATATTAATCTTCAAAAGTAGGGTGAACTTTGGGGGAAAGGAAATTCACGGGCAGACTCGTGTACCGTAGCAAAACTTAGTTGCATGTTCTTGACTATATAGATTTTAGATTCTTATGCATATTTAGATGTTAAACTGTTCTATATTAGTCGCCATTGGCTGTGATGTAAGTGCAAATGTTTAGTTCCGTAACTAATTCTTATGTACATGTGTCATCTCTCCGATGATTGTCACAGAAAAAAAACATCTTGTTTATTGTCACTTGGATATGATATTTACTGATTCTACCAGACGTTTAATTACCAACCTTGTATTAACTCGTAGGCGTTGTCCGAAGGAATGTATTAGTAACTTTTCCATTAAAGTAGGTAAATTTGGCATCGAGGTAATAAGCTTTGGATTTGATGTATTTCCATAAAGCATAGTAAATTAGATTGTGCCTTTGAAATTATAAGAGGATGGGTAATTTTCCATTTTCTTTTGGCTCCTCTCTCTTTCTATTAAACATGCTGCACACATTTATATATGTGTAAATTTATGTATATGTATATTTAATAAAATTAAATTTTCAATATGCGTAAAATGGAAATTCTCTTATGCCATTAATCTTATCTACTCGAATACTTTGCAATGTCAATGTCATTACTCACTTCAAAATATTGCACTATAAATAACTATTTACATAGTGAAAAACAGTTCATCAATAATCATCGAAACATTAGTTAATTCGTTACAACGTTTGTAAATTATTAACCATATTGTATAGTGTCAAAGAAAGTTGTTCACACTCGTTAGATCGTTCATGATACTTGTAAGAAATTATGTTGGTTATATAGATCAATAAATATACATTTAGTTATTAAAAAACAATTCCATCAACATCCAATTAAACATTAATAAATTTATTATCATGTTGTTTAGGTTAGGCTAAGTCTGCACCAAAAGTACTTGAAGTGTTTTGTCCAATGTGCAATCAAGTCCTAAATGTTTTGAATCAAATAAAATCAATTCCTTCTTTGACTTGGCCTACCGGAAATTAGTGTGGCATTCTCTAGTACTTTTTAGGATACGTGGCACCACATAAGAAAAGTCGAATTTTCTTTTAAAGGAAGAAAGCCAATAAAAAGAAAGATCAAAATTTTGAAAAAAAATTGAAAAACCGAATGACCTAAATCTATGAGACGAAAAAGACCATGGCAAACCTCCCCTTGCGAGAGCAAAAGCCTGGATGCCCTCGCCTGCATGTGGAGAAGGTAGCCGGCGACGTGAAGAGCCCTTCCTGCCGTTACATGCTCTTTCCTTTGCCTTCTTCCTTTCAATATTTGGCTTTTTGTATTATTCTCCTGTTTTATTTTATTTTTGAATATTTAACCTATTTTCTGAGGTAGTGCCCATAGCAGCGCCACTTCTGTGCTGCGTATGCCAAAAGTAATATTAAAAAGTGCTATCTAGGATTCCGACGTGCCGGATCAACAAATTTGCCTGAACGGTTACCGGAAGGACTTAAGTACATCAGATCGAGTATGTTTATGACTTGGTTAAACATTGGACAAACACGTAGGACTTTTAGTGCAATTTTCCCTTTGTCGCACATAGATAAATTCATCATGGTAGATGACTAACTATACTTGTAAAACTTGAAAGAAGTTGGTAACTTACTCATTTAATGTGATGTTGGCAAATTCCTTATAGGGATGATATTTACTAACCATACATGTAAACTTTCAAAGAAGTTGGGCTATGCTATTGGGATGTTAATAAATCTCTTATGGTGTTTGTAGTTTGCTAACCACACTTGAAAAATGTGAAAGAAGTTGGTAACTTACTAATTCATTAGCAACGGAGCCATCCAAGCATTTTTTAACTGGGATGTTTGGTAAATTGGTTATAAGGTTGGCATTTTACTACCCACATTAAAAATATTGCAGGAGGCTAGTAATTTTGGTAAATTCCCTATAGTGTTGGTGATTTACTACTTGAACTTGTAACATTCCAAAGAACTGGATAACTTGTTAATTTATTGGAACATTGGTAAGTTTCTTATGATATTGAGATTTTACTAGAATGCCGAAGAAGTTGGTGATTTACTAATTTATAGAGATATTGGTAATTTTCTTGTACTGTTGATATTTTACTAACTACAGTTTAACGTACTAATTATTTGAATGTTGGTAAAGTTTTGTTAATTGGTACTTTACTAACTACACCAATAACAATTCAAAGTTGATTAGTTACTAACTAATTCAAATGTTGGTAAATTATTACAGTGTTGGTAGTTTAGTTACCATACTAGTAAAAATTGGTAATTTCCTAATTCTTGGAACGTTGGTAAAATTCTGATAGTGCTGCTAATATGTTAACAGGCTACTTGACATTTGAGTTCTCTCTTATACCCTTTTAACCAACGTTATTAGAATTTTACTGGCAATTTCATAAATCTACCAACTACAGAAAATTTTCCAGCTTTTCCTGTGACTGGACCCTAGACTCGTCCCCTATAATGTGGTTAATTATATGTTCGGCAAGGCTTCTAAATTCCAAAATTTCCCTCCATGCATAGGAGGAAGCTAAATAGGGATGGTCCATAGACTTCTCCCTTTCAGCTTAAGATTTATCACAAGTCGTGCGTAGGGACTTGGGATATTACAACTATGGAGGAATGTCTCATACTGCAAGCCCAACCAACGGTTTGACGAATAGAAATTGATGCATGACCAGTATTGAGCAGATAAAATCAAAATAAATACACTAATTGTAAGAAAAAAATAATAATACAATATACAAGGGTACAAGATTGATATAATGTCCTATCCTCGGAGAAGCATAGTGGGTACACAGCATTATCACTGATATAATAAGCAAGGCTGAGATTAACATTTATAAAGGACCTCAAACACTGGCATTATCACTCTAGTTTGGCATACTAATCAATGCTCTCGTCATAGTTAAAGAGATCCGCGAGATCGATACAGTCGCTTGGAGAATATGCAATAGAATAATGGCCGTCACTAGGTTCGCCAATTTGCCGATGATCATCATGAGACAACTGTTGCTCTTTGCTCGTCTGAGGCTGCGGATCAGGAATAGGCACATTCTGGTCTGGTAGATTAAAATTCGACATCTCGTTCGGATAAGGGAATTCAACAGTAACTCCAGGAGATGCCTGAGCGATAAAAAAGAAAAAATGAAGGAACAATCAGTAATAGAGCTTTAGTGTAGTTAGTTGTATCTCTTGAGCATATGTTCCTTTGTATCAATCTAACGCAGCACATGCTCACCTGTGCACTAATTTCTTGTGTTCCTTCATTTTGGGAACCATTCAGATTGCTAGGGCCGCTTAAATCGGTTGAAGTACTCGCTGTTGCAGACTTTACTTTCTTACTTTTTCTGTTTATTATGTGACAGAGAACCAATGCCGTCTACAAAGACAATATGATGCCAGGAATGAGTTTCAGGGTTACAATGATCAAAACTCCCTTGTTGCATGAAAGTAGTTTATGCACGAGATACATCACTCATCACTTATCAAAATTGAAGGAATTCTCGTTTCAAGAACAAATTGCCCCTCTGTTGCTGCAGAATCACCCTACTTTTGGCGGCATTGCCTTCAGTAGTCACTGGAACTAAAACACCAGTCATGAATCTATCACTTAAAATGATTATCTGTAAGTTTTCTTTCTCAATCTTCCTCACGAAATTCTACAAAATACTGTAGGAAAGGTTCTGACTCACGGATGCTACTGTTCGAAGTTCAACTGGACTTAAAGGTAAATCACGATTAAATAATCATGGGACAGAGGGAGGAACTAGAAAATCATGTACTCAGAAAGCCAGAAACATCAAGCAGCTGAATAAGGAACATATGTAGAGAAATGATGTTATCAATTTTACCTGCACTTGTAACCATGTTATAGATGCTCAATTAGGGGAAGCAAAAGAAGAGAAGTTGAGTACCGGGTCCGAAATTTCACTATCGAAAACATTCGAGTTTAGGTGATATTCGTACATGCCCAAGTTGGTCCTATGGGCATTTCTTTGACGACCTTCGTGGTAAACCAAGCTTCTCCTGAGCCCTATCTCTTCACCGGTGTCCGATGCTTGTATAACATGTTTGGTACATGTCTCTTTCCAAAATCCGCACTCGGTCTTCCTCTTCCTCTTACGACCACGGGGACAAAAGAAGAAACACTCGCTTCCATCCGACGGGATACTTGACAATTCTACAACCAAAGATTGGTTAAATGTTAATTCACTGAGGTCTTATGGGTAACCCTCAATTACCATCAAACCATAAGAAAATAGAGAAAGAACACTAAGGACTGCATGTAATTGACCGTTGTATCGTGTAAATAACTCCTGAGGCTCCCAGTTGTAGATGCATAGCTCGGGAATTAAACAAAGAGTTTCCATTTCTCCTATGAGCTTTTTTTTCAAGTAATGACCGACGAGCTCATCCTCCGTCGGTTTGAATCTAAGTCCCACCGGCCACGCCTCTATCGATTCTGCCATGCTATATGATTTCTATCTCACACGCAATTCTGCAATCGAAAAAAGAGGAGAAGATTGGAGAATGGTCCAATTGAAATAAGCAGTGGAAGAAGAGGAGAAAAACAGAGGAAACAGAGTTTACTCTTGGCTTGGCTTGGCTTTGCTTTGCTTGAGAGTATTGACTGCAAACACTTCCAAGTGGGTCAATTTATAAGCACAAAAAACAGAGTAATCTTCTTGACCCTTGCTTGAGAAGGCAAACTACTGTTCAAGTGGATCCCACCTCAAGGTCAAGACGACGACGTTTTCTCAACGAGCAGCTTCTTCGAAGTCCACAACGCGTATTTAACTTGGTTAATCGGACCCGTCTGGTTGTTCTAGCCAATCGGAACATATGACATATAAAGTCATAACCTAAAATATGCAGGAATAAGCACACGATGGTATGAAGTTGAGCAGTGTTTCTTCAGTGAAGAAGACTCTAGAATTTCATGTATGTAGCCATGGAGATCATGATATGAAGTTGTCTCATAGCGTTTCCTCAGTGAAGAAGATTCTAGAATTCCAAGTAACATGCATAGTGGATGCAATAACGTCGAAAAGTGAAAGAAGATAAGATTCTTGTTAGTACAATGCAAAAGCACAACCGATTTCTCTTTTATATATTATATGCATAAGCAAAACTTAGACGCATGTTCTTCACTAAAAAATTTAGCTTTTCATCCGAATTTATAACTTTTGTCAGTCTAAAACTATTGTATTTAGTTATACCTGTCAAACAGATGGATTAGATCTGGTTTGGATCGAGTGATAAATGATCCAATAGAAATTGACCCATTAACCTATTTATAACTAATTTATTCGTAGTGCAAATTTCTCGACCCATGCTTTACCCGACCCATATTGTTAAAACACTTGCATATTTATCCAATCTAGGAAAAGTTGTTTCTTATAATTTTTTTAAAAAATTATATTGCTTAAACACTTCCATGCCATACAAATCTATGGACAATTTTTATCTTTTTTTCTAAATTTGATTTTTAATTTTTTTTCGTTTTTTCTTTTTCTTTCTTTCTTTTTCTTTTTTAGTCTTCTATGTCCGGCGAGGGCCATCTGTGTATCCATATGTGTATCAATTCAAATTGTTAAAATATATACATCGAGTTTGAGCATGTTAAACGAAAAATTAACAGCTAAAATAAAACGAAAATTAGGCTTAAAATAAATTTGAGAAAGCTCAGAAGTTCGAGTTATACTCGTGTTTGGTAGAATTCTATCGTTCTATGCACAAAAAGTACACGATTTTGTTGGTTTTGGGCCCGAAATTCTAGTGGCGAACTCCAACAATGGCAAGATCAAGACTTGATTACACGTATTTCAAAACCTTTATGACTTGATTACACTTTCTTAAATATTTGGGGCTTTGATTGCTTCTTTTATAAAACAATTAGGACAAAGCAATTTTCCCTAGAAGAAATTTAAACCGTACACGTCTTTTGCGAGCATAATTCATTGTTTAAAAACATTTTCCTACTATTTCTCGTGTCTCATGATTCACTATCCATGCAAATGTGGTTCATGACCCACTCAGTCTGTAGGGCCAACTCGTTGCTAATCACATGTGCTTAGGGGTGAGCATGGTTCCAAACTAGAACTTGAAACCTGAGAACCTAACCGGTGGAAATCTGTAGGTTCCAGGTTCCAAGGTATGCAGGGTAGGTTTCAAGTTCCAAAAATTGGAGAACCTATTTCGACGGGTAGGTTCAGGTTCTAGGTAGGTGGAACTTGAAACCTAGAACCTGAAACTTAAAAGAGTTTTTTGTGTTTTTTCTTGATTTATGTCTTTGCGTGATCCTGCGGTATTTCATGGTATTAGATGATGAGTGTATAATCTGAAACCACTAATATGAGCTTTCGTTTTATGACTTGTTAATGTTTCATATTTGTCGTATGTCTAAATATAAGTTATGGTTAGTGGATCATAACAGCAAGTGATGATTCACTGTAATTGTTCAATTATTGATATAAGTGGAGCCTGGGTAGACCTTGGAATCGACCCTCGAACTTGTGATATGATAGGTTCCAAGTTCTAAAAAATGAGGAACCTATTATCATGGGTAGATTTTAGGTGAAACCTATACGAAACATGAAACCGCTCATCCCTAATATCAATTCATGCAATGACTTCTCATTTTAATTATATTTATTTGAATTGTAATGCTAGGAAAACTACTCTTTGGTATTTTTTTTGGTGAATGACAAGCTTATTCAGTATTGTTGCGTTCATTTTCATGATGAAATAAAATAAAAAAGAACCTGTTAGACCTTGGAACCTACCCTGGAACCTGTGACAATGTAGGTTTTAGGTTCCAAGTTCCGACGGGTAGGTTCCAAGTTTCAAAAAATGAGGAACCTGTACCCGACGGTTGGTTCCAGGTTCCAAATGGAATCTGTACTCGAGGATAGGTTCCAGATTGCAAGTGAAACCATTAAGGAACTTGAAACTGCTCACCCCTACATGTGCTTTAGTCATGGTCCATTTAGTCAAGGTAGCCCAATTTTATATTTGAAAACGCGAACCCCTTTAGGAAATATTTACATCAGTTAATTTTTCATTTTTTAGAAATCTAGTGATTTTTATAAATACATTTTCTCTCCCTCAAAATCTTGCTGTTGTTGTATATTGACTTTTTCTGAATGGGCAACACCTACAACTTTCATGCAGTATATACATTGACAAATAAGTTCATAGATAACATTATTTTAATTTTTTTAATAATATTTTAAATTTAAGCAGGAAATCATTGCTTTTTGTTTTTTAAAAAGCACAAACAAATTTTCTAACTTGTGCAAACGCGTTTCATGGCCATAAATAATGACAGAAAAACAGTTTATTTCACTTTTTTTTCTCACGACCCATCATGATCTATGACCGTGCGAATGTGGTTTGCGCCCAGCTCGTAGCTTTTTGATCGCCTATACCATGGTTGCAGTCTATTTGGCCTATTTAACTTGTTTTGAAACTTGAAGCTATTTAGGAAATTAATCTAGTTAGTCAATTAATTTTCCGAAATCCTAAAATTTCATCTTTCAGACGGATCATTCTCAGCCTCAAACTCTAGTAACCTCATTCAGCAGAAGAGTTGATGTTGTTGCTATTCAATCACGATGACCACATCACCCAGCATATTCCAAAGTAACACAAAAAAATGAGTAGTGGAATCGTAGTCGGTTCTGTTCTTTTCCCTTCCTTTTCCAAAGTGAAAGAAAATACAACAAAGTTACAGACATTGCTGACCCACTGCGCAACAGACAATACTCAAACAAGCGCAAAGCACAAAGACTGAACCATACTCTTCTTGATATATCATTAGTCTAATACAAAACATGTCCATGGCTTACAGGGGATGAAAAGAAGGTACTATGGCATCCTGTGGTAAAAAAAGAAGAGCATTCGAGAACGCATGACTGATTCTGGGGTTTTGCCAAAAGGCTCTTCGTTTATCAGTGTTTGGGCTTAGAACCCTCTGATTTATATATGCTTTTTTGTACGATCTTTGGAGGAGATGAAGTATAAATTAGCATATTGTAGGCAATTGTCTGCTGAGAATGTGCCGGTTGTCTGTTCATACTTACTGTGATTTAGATATGTTGTAATTCGGGTTGAAAATTGATGGTGGATCAAAAGAAAAGGAAATTTGAAATGGGGAATATGCCTTCTTGACAAGAAAGAAGGTTTCCTTGATTCTATCGGAAAGCTCATTGTGCTTCACAATAAACGAATGAAAACTAGGTTGCGGATGACTTCACAAGCATCTCCAATTACCTAGATCGTCTTGTTGATGTATCTTCAACTATTTATTGGAGATACATGGATTGCTTCTTTTGAGGCATCTTGACATTCTTGGACCCGCCATGATTGAGGTGTCACATACATTGATGAACAACGATTATCAGCCTTCTCATCTTGTATCCTTACAAGATGCCGAGAACAAATTCTCTGTTCAGGATTCAAGAACCCAACATCAGTCAATATGAGACAGTAGCAAACGGCAGCAACAATTAAATCCTCACGGAACTGAGATGCACACTGATGTATCTTTATAACAGAGGGTCAAGAAAATGCAACATCGGATTATCACAAACTCATTGTCTAAACCTCGGCTTAGAAAGCCAAGAAGGGCATAGAAATCAAGTTCTTCGGCTGTTGCTATTGTTACCTCCGAATCGAAATTCTCATAAACACCAATCATTGATCACCAATGTTTTGTCTACCCAGTAAAGCTCCGGTGGTGAAGAATCAAGAAAAACACTTTTGCTCATTGGCATCTAAACAATTCAATTATGGTGAAAACAAGAAGTACTGGAAATGGCACGAAAAACCTATATACAGCAAGCTAATATGCCTCTGGGATCTCATTGGCGAACAAAGATGTGCTGTACCCGTACAAGAACAGAATTGAGAATGAAGAAGAAGAAGAAAATGATTACCTGGCCTCTTGAAGCATACCACAAGGGAACGGATTTAGGTGATATTCGTGCATGACCCTTGCCCGTATGTTTCTAGCGAACATCGGGATTGATTAGGGCACCTATACATAACCCGTTCTTTCAATTCCAAGTAATGATTGACGAGCACCTCCACAGCGGGCTTCCACTCCGAACCCCGTCGGTAAAGACTCCAGAGCTTTATCGAAAGGTTTGCCATCTCATGTTCTCTGACCCAGGAAAACAGCAGAGATGAAGTTCCCGAACTTCGGATGGAGATTGTATACACACCTCTTTGAGGAGGGATGGAAATATATACTGCACTCGCATCGAGTTGGAAACATGCCTGTTTTGTCTGACCCTTTGGTAATCATGCCTGTTTTGTCTGACCCTTTGGTGGATTCCACCTATTTTTTCTTTGTTGTCCTTATCTTTTTCTTTTTTTTCCTTTTTTCCTTCGACTTGATTCTCAAATGCTCCCAACTTCATCCGGAAGTTGAGCTGATGGAGACCCTACTGCTGGTCCTACCACGATGCTTCTAGTCTATGTATTCGCTTTCTTTATTGGGGGTCTTTTTTCTTTTTCTTTTTCTTATGAGTAAAAACGAAGCAAGAACTTTCACTAGAGGTTGCACCTCTTTTCTCATGGCTAGGAGACGTTACACCTCCTAGCACTACTTTTTATAGTTAAACAAAAAGACTCTTGATTTAACACACCGGTACCCTAGTATTACAAGCGTAGGGTTTGAATCCCGTACTATGTAAATACGCAGAGCAAAAGTCTAAGTAATATGAGAGTCAGAAATAGGGCAGGAAAAAAAATTCTTAATATCATTTAGGGCATGTTTGTAAATTTAAAATGCATTATTTAAACCATAATAACAACAATTATTATTTTCTTGAGTTTGAACGAGATTTGTGAATTTTTTCTAGACGACAAAATATATATCTAATCATGACTTCTGTTGATGACTCCTTTGCAGAGTAAAACAATCATGTCGGTTTGACGAATGATTTTGTTTCTTTCCATGTATTATGTATGTTGGAGTCGCAAGATTTTGAGAAGTGATCCTTGACTAGTGCAATTTTATTCCCTCGTAATAACATGCATCTTGCTCAAATGAAGATTTGACCGGCCGGTAAGTTTGGGGTCTTATTTAAGACTAAATTTGTCACTTCAATGCCTTATTTAAGACAATATCCGCTCTGAACCATCATTTGAAAAAGCTGTCCCACTTCAAGACCTTATTTGAAAGTTTGCCAACAATGATTGAGTAGGAAGAACTAGAGAGGAAATATCCGTACCAATATTTCTAAAAGATGAAGATAATACACAGAGTGAGAGGCCAAGTTAATAATACAAAGCTTATACACAATAGAGAATTTTCACTAGAACATGATAAATAAACACGGAAACTTTTATAGAGTAGCAAAACACTGGTAATCCATAGTAAAAACTAATATCTACCCCATAATCGCCTCCCATAGTATGACTTGCAATAAGGCCAGCAAGTGGCCATGCCGTTCTGTACACATATGATGATAAGGCACGCCAGTCCGTGCTAGTTGAAGCTCCAGATCTCAGAGAGATAAATAACATCATCGCTTGGAGAGCGCAGCGCATCATGTTCATCATTAGTTCTGTCAACAAGCCAATTATCACCGCACAGCGAGCTTTCCATTCCGAGCGTGTCGGGCTGCCGAGGAACAGACACATTGCCATCTGGTAAATCATAATCCAACGTAGTATGGTTCGAACTTTCGGGTTCAACCGTCACTGCTGGAGATGCCTGAGGGAGACGATGGAAAGAAAACAACATATTCAAGCTTTAGTTTTGCTTAATCATGTCAACCTAAACTGATATTTGCTTACCTGTGCGCTAATTTCTTGTGCTCCTTCATATTCCGAATTATTAAGAATACTAGGACTGTTTAGATTGGCCCTAGTACTCGTAATTGCTGACCCCGATCCTGCTTTCTCACATTTCCTGTTTGTTATGTGACAGAGGACAAATTCCATCTACAAAGGGAAAAAAATGTCGGAGCTGAGTTTTATGCTGTGTTTGGAAGGAGAAAGAGAACAGAGGGAGTGAAATTTGTTGTGAGAAATTGGAAAGAAAAATTAACACTTTTACGAGAAATATGAAAAGGGAAATTTAGATTTTCAAGAATTAGAACCGATAATAAGAAATGGATTACTATACTGCTTGACTTTATAATGTGTTACAATCAAGGAGTATCTATACCTGAAGAATATGTACAAGTAAAGAAGTAACCTCATCTAACAGTGAAAATAACTATCGTAGGAAATGACAAAAAATGGAAAATTAATTACAATCTCGAAATATTCTAAACATGCAATATTTTCCACCCACATTTTCTACACCTACCATTTACAAACAAAGCATTAAGGTTACAACAAAGACAAACGCCAAATATATCCTGTATTGATCGAATCTTGCGGCATGCGCCCTTTTAACTTTTTTTCAAATCTTAAAGCTTGAAACTTTCATAATATGCAAATTTAGACACGCACATTCATATAATTCTTTTTTCAATAATTTTTTTGAAATTCGAGTAACAATCTAGATTTGGGCGGAGAAGTTAAAAAGATACTTTTTGACATTTTATAAGTTGCTACAACAAACCTATCAAGGTAAAGGTTCTCTTATTTGTTCGAAAAATAGAATAAAAACGAATGAAAGAAAAGTAATGTTATTCTTAGTATGCAAGAATGAAATGAAATTGGAATTCTCGTTCCACCAGGTGTGAGTGGTTCCAAGGTAGGTCCAAGTTCCACTTGGAGCCTAAAACCTACCATGAACCAGAAACCTACCCTATAAACATTGGAATCAAACTTGCGGTTTTAAGGTCGATTCCTAGGTCTACCTCGAAATCGGCCAATTCCTTTTTTTGTTTCATTTATTTTATTCCTTTTTTTACTTCGTTTCTAGTCAAGCAAAATGAAAATTAAAGTAACAACTAAAATTCTCCTTCAAATAGATAAAGTTTCATCAACAATACTACATATCCCAAACAGAACTATTTATAAGTGAAGTAATATGTAAAACCTAATAATAGAAGTTGTATTATGTTGTCATGTTGAGTAAATAAAAGAGGTTGATTCAAGAGTAAACTAGAAACACGTGTATAAGAGTAGCGATTAATTAATTTGAGGTTTCTAAATTGCATTGTATACTGGAATTTCTCTTGCAATGAATATACATATATGTTGCAGGTGGATTCTAATGGATACATATCTTCCACCTACACCAAAGCAAGTTTAAAACTTTTCCTACTAATGGAAGGACATATTGAACAACATTAGTAATGAAATAATATTCTGAATTCTGAAAGTTTGATACTACTAGTATGAAAATTGCTAAAAAGATCCATAGATATTACTAGTTTAGGGTTACCTCGGTTCAGTTCGACTCTCCGATACCTAGTCCAATTCTCTGGCTCCCAATCCGGTTCTTCGATTCCACAGTTCTCAGTCTGATTTGGTTAGGTTCCTACCCAGAAATCGGGAACTAGACCGCATAGTACTACTGGTTTCAAAAAAATTTGAAATCAGGAACCAGACTAAGGAGTCTTGGAACGGGAAATCACCCCAATTTTTAGGCTCGGTTTGGTCCAGTTCCTGGTTCTACCCGGAACTCATGCTCACCCCTGCATTCATCCTTCCATTCCTATTATTGCATTTGGTGTCGTTCTAAAGGTTGGAATGGACATTCCCCCATGGAATGCCTATTTCAACTTTCGAAGGAATGAGCATTCCTTAAATAGACCTATGGAATGCCCATTTCATCCCTTCCCTTATTAAAATAATATTAATTTACTGAATTACTGAGTTGGAATAAGTAAAGATTAATGTTTTGATAATATATATTATGGTTTTTTTTTTGTGCTATAGAAATTTATATTTTGTTAAATGCAAGTCTATTAATAAATCAAAAATTTTAATTACAGAAATTCATTACATATCATTCTGACACAACTAGACAAAAGAACCACAAATCCATTCCATTGCAATAATTTTTTTTAGGACAACCAAACAAAGAAATTGGAACCCGTTCCATTCTATGTCCCCATTCCAATCCATTCCTTTCTATCGTTCGAAATGCAACATTAAAGGTATCCATGCACATGGCAGAGTGTGCTCCCTCGAAAAATTATTGGGCATTTTTATAATAATTTTTTTTATACTCAAAATTTGTTCCGAACAATCAATTTTTGTTTGGTTTCCATTAATCTATTGTTCCAAAATTGAAGGTTGAGATTGCTTATGGAGTACGAAAAAGTTTAATCAAGAAGTACCCCGGATTGCTCTGCCGGACAGTCCACACCGGGGAAAAAGTCCCCAATCATGGACTAACAAAGCGAGAAAACGAAGACAATAGAAATGATAGGCAATAATCCACAAGAAGCAGAATGAGGAGCATATGTAGCATGACAAGGCAGGCATATGCACATACTCATACATCTATTTGCTTTGCTAGAACAAATGGAAAATGCACATTGCTTGAAAAGTGATAATTTCAATATTACCTGCATTGATAAAGATGTTAGAGATGCTCAACAAGAGGAAGCAAAAGAAGAGAAATTGAGTACCGGGCGGGGAATTTTACTATTCGAAACATTCGAATTTAGGTGATATTCGTGCAAGACAAAGTCAGTCCTGCGGGCGTTTCCTTGTCGACCTTCGTAGTAAACCAAGATCCTTTTGAACCCTATCTCCTTACCAGTACCCGGTGCTCGTACAACATGTATCTTACTTGTAACTTTCCAAAATCCGAACTCCGTCTTCCTGCTCGAACGAAGGCTATTCGGGATCTTATTATCCCGGGGGCAGAAGAAAAAACACTCGTGTCCATCCGACGGTATCCTTGACAGGGCTACACAAAAAACAATTGGAGAAGTGTCGATTCACCGAGCCTTAGAGGCAACCACCATAGAGAACACTAAGGAAAGAGTAAATCTGTTCGATATGAACTACAAAGTTACCATTGTATCTGGCAAATAGATCCCGAGGCTCCCACTTGTAGATACATAGCTCCGGTATTACGCAGATAGTTTCCGTTTCTCCTCTCAGCTTTCTTCGCAAGTGATGATCGACGAGTTCGTCCTCCCTCGGCTTGAATCTGAGTCCCACCGGCCACATCTCCGTCGAGTCTTCCATGCTTTCCTATCACAAATCAAATTCTGCTACAGAGAAAGATAAGAAAAAAGTAGTAGAGAATGGGACTAGTGAAATAAGTAGAGGAAGCAGAGGCCACTCTTGGCTTGACTTTGCTTTAGGCTGTTGACTCCAAACAGGTAATTTTCATTAGCCTTCTCAAGAAGGCAAACCACTGTTGAGTGGATGCTACCATAAGCTCAAAGACGACGCCGTTTTCACCAAGAACAGCATCTTGGAAGGTCATGATAAGAAGTTGCTTGAGCGTTTCCTCAGTGAAGAATCTAGACTTTTGTTGTGAATGCATACTTTGAGCGATGATGTGGAAAGTGAAAGATTTGAAAAGATTCTCGTTAGGACGATTCCCCAAAAGTTGTTCTCTTATATATTTTCATATTATATCTTCCGGATGAGTTTATAAGTTGGGAAAATGAAGTTTCCTCATACTTTCGGCAAAATTGATGTTCTTGACTAAAAGCTAAGGTTCTTATTGGATCCTTTATCAAATGTGTTATATAATCGATTCAGGATGTGAAATAAAGGTCAAGTAGTAGTTACATGACTAATTTTTAGGTCGCCCAGATCTGGCGAGGAGGCCCTCGCCTGGGAAAGCCTCGCTCTTGCCAAATTCGGGCGAGGGGTGGCTGGCAAGAGTGGCCCCAGCCAGCATTCGCGACCGGCTATAGGCGAAAAGGAAGAGGAAAAGGCTAATAATTTTAGAAAATAAAAAGAATTTGTAAAAATCGTCCATATTAGCAACATCTATACCACGTAGAACAGACGCCGTCCACGTTGGCCGAAAAGATTGAACTGGCAAATCGTCAAAAATTTTATAACTAAATTGACACAATTGAAAGGTTTATGATTAAATTGGAAACCGTATAATTGATTTGAATTTTTTGGACAATTTTCCCTCTTTCCAATGATTATTGCAATCAATTTTGTTCATCATGAGTGGATTTGATAATTTACTAAAAGTTTGTTTGTTGGTATTTACGAGTAATATAAAGTAACTACTTTTTACTTTACTTTCAAAATTTAAAATATTATCTAAATTTAAATTTTTTTTTTAAAAAAAACATGAATCTACTTGTCAGCATTTACAAATAGTGAAAGTTTTGATTGTTTGAGATTGTAAAAAAAAGAATGTGTACTTCGTAAGATTTGAGAAAAAAGGTTAAGTGAAAGCCACTCCAAATAAACCTTAATTTGTGTTGACATTTGTCACCTTGTCCAATAGGTATTGTATTGTTCCATGGGACACACTTTTTCGAAATTTTTTTTACTTAAACCTAGTGTATGGATTCCAATATAATCCTAAGCATTTCAATTTTACCAATATAATCTAAACTTATACTCAAAATTCCGATGTAGTCCTTTCGGACATTTTCACCCGAACTTGTTGACGTGGCGGCCAATTGGCTATCTTATGTGGCACACCAGTGATATGAAGTAGATAAATTTATTCAAAATGATCTCATTTTGTTTATTTTTTCTGAACTTTCCAAATTTCTTTATTTTTCTTTTCTTGATGTAACTGTTCATCTCTTCCTCGGTATCCTGGCTATCGTCCGTCCTCCCATTGTCGCGATCTCCACCTCCGCCGTCAAGTCCTGCATCTCCTCATTACTTGACTTCTTATACAACGAGTTGCTCCTAGATTTGGATGGCTCGATCTCCATCCTCATCAATTTTGATCAAGAACTGGGCCAATGCCTTCTCCTAACCTGAGGGAGCAGAGGACTTTGTAGCCTACTCTCTTCAATGTACTCCAGTACCACAGCGGACTCTGCAACCGGCCTCCCACTGTGGATGAACACAGGGATGCTCTCGCATCCGCCCTTATTGCCGAGATCTTCCTCCACCTTTTCATACTTCACTCCCTTGAGCTTGAGCGCCCATATTACTCTATAGCTGAAGGGACTAGGCCAACCTCTTAGCAGCTTCACTCCCTCATTAAATCCTAACTCATCAAAACGATTTCCTTGTTTTTCTCGAGTCTAAGCGAAACGAAGACCATAAAGCCCTGAATCGCTACCGCCACCAAGCTAGATCCATCCAGATCTTGAGGCAACTCGTTCGTATTGGGTGTGGCTGGCAGTGAAGTCAAGTGATGGGGAGATCAAGAGCCTGGCGGCAATGGCGGAGATGGCGACAATGGCGGATAAACAGTAACAAAGGAAACTTAAGGAAGAAGATGAACAGTAAGGAAAGAAAAGAAAAAAAATGAAAAAAAATCTTGAAAAGTGAAAAAGATGTAAGTAAAACCATGTCATTTTGAATGAATTTGTCCATATCGGATTGCCAGCGTGCAGTGTAAGACGGCTGGCGATGATTGAACCATTACATTAACAATTTCAGATAAAAATTGACCGAAATGACTATATTTAAATTTGATGGAAAAGTTTAAGACTGTATTGAAATAATTAAAACGTTTAGGACTACAATAAAATCAGTAAGATAAGTTTAGGACTGAAATGGTAATTTTCTCCACTTTTACATGAAATTTGCAGATTTGACATTGAGGTAGTGAAATTTGGGTTAGTATATTATCCTATATACTAAACTTTTAATGCATACCGATAACTTTCCACAGGTCATATAGTGGACTAGATTATGACTTTGAAATTAGAAGAGAACTGAGAAATGTTCAAACAAAGATTAGTATATTCATAGTTTACCAGTAATTACTACTCAAACAGGGACGGACCGTGAAGATTTCACTAGTGGGTGTAGCAATATAAGAGCATTAATTACATTTACTAATGTAATTGAGCATTTCACATTATTCTATCTAAAATCATAAATATGCAACGAAAACTAAAGTTTGATTAGAAAATTATCATTTGTCAAATAAAAATAGAATAAAAGCTAAGGTATGTCACGAGTTATATTGTCGAGCATTATAGTAGGCGAAGTTATTATAAGGATATTATTAGGGAATTTAAAGTTACATTAAGTAGTGTCCACTCCCATAACACGTACAAGTGGGCGCGCAACTTCTAGTTTCATACAATTACGTCGTGCCATAATCATTTCACGTCAGATTCATGCTGGCCACAATTTGTTCACAAATCTTGTCGCGAATTTGAAATTTGACCAAGACTTTATTATCAAGCACGTTAGAAGATACAACATGGTTAACACAATTTTTTTTAAAAAAAATTACAAGCTCTCCTGCATAGACATGTAAAATTTGTTCAGAAGTATCTAAACATGTTTAAATACATTTAGATGCATCGTGCTAATAGGTTTAACATTTAAATTGCTATTATTTATATGTGTCTAAAGCGTATTGAAAAAAGATTAAAGAGTTAATGTGCATGCAACACATTTATTATTCGTATATAACACGGATTAATTAAACTCAACTCGAATGCATTCGATACATGATCCTGTCAGATGCACTAGGGACACTACAAATACTAATTATCATTTGAACAGGAAATTAATGTTTCTGACTTTATGTTGGAGATGAAAAGCTGTAGTAGTAGCATTTCTATTTCTTTTTTTTCTCGAAGCCTCTTGCCCATATCTCTCATCAAAGAGTGAAATGATTTTTCATCGAACAACTATTCATTTATTGTATTTTCATATAAATAGGGGCAAGAAAGTTCAATCAAAAAATGGTGGTTCAATTCGAGGTTGTTTAAGAGAAAATTTGAATATAAGTGTGGGCTAAGTATGCCTTATGCACCCGTTTGCCACTTTGTTTTCAACTCTTTCCACTTGCCGATCGAGACAAGCTACCTTATTTTACTGGGTTCAAGTGGTCTAGGCTTGTTATAAAATGTGAATTCTTGAATTGATTACAATTTGGATTTTCTCTAATTTTAGAAGGGACATAGTGTGGTGACAAAAATTTGGTGGGGTCAAAGGGCCACATTATTTCTAATTTAGAAAAAAAAAAGTATAACAGCAGGTAATTGCAGATTGTGGATAGAATTTAGTGTTATAATAATGTTGGTTTGAATACAGTAGCGGAATAATGTTGGTTTGAATACAGTAGCGGTGTTGGTTTGAATACAATAGCGGCGCCGCTACTGTATTCAAACCAACATTATTATAACATGGTCCGACATGGACCGCCGATTGACTTAGATGAAAGCATCTGTCGTTGAAGCGAACTGATACATACAACATACTCCCGACATGGATCGCCGCAAAATGCCCGAACCGTTGGAAATGGAAGGCCGATATCTCTATCATCACATCTTCATTAATCAATTGAAGTTTCATATCCACAATTTCGTCCAACTATTTGGTTGGCACAAGTGCAATACGAAATATGCAGCACATTACCTCTCAAAAAAAAAATATATATATAGGGACACAAAAAACACACACGACCCGCTCGCAGTACATGAAAACTTTCTAAAGCATGATCCTGCAAGGACACATTATTGAAGAACTAACGGTGGTACTCTTCACGTTCTAAGGCTCACCAAGAATCATCGCCCTGCACCAAACATAGTAATCATCAGTTTAATTAGGAATTACTGAATGGTCAACTTGTTTCGCCTAGTGATGAAAACAATTGGCTACGTGCTCCTTACCTGGCCGTCGCCGTACACATAGGGCTGTGGAACGAAAGGGCAATACGAGTTGTAATTTGGCAAGTTGTTGTCGAGCGTTTGAAATGGAGAAAGTGATTCCACAGTTGCTTGGAACGATGACTGATGTCGCACAAAAAATTTCGTGTTATTAAACTCTCAAACTACTCCGAAATTTTCGGCAAACATTACTTCGATCGAAACCGGTGAGACTAGGGAAGCAAAATCCAGAAAAGAGGTTCGGTCCTTTCAATTATTTACCTCCTGGTCTGCGTCCTCTGTCAACCCAAGTTGAGAAGCAACAGGAGCGTCATAAGTGACACTTGAACCTCCTTCAAAACTAGGGGAAATATCCAAGCTTTCACTTGGTTTCCTCTTCAAGCGACAAAGGATATATGGTATCTGCAAATATTTATAATTGTAATAAAGATTAGATCCGAAAGTTTCACTTTGAATACAATGCGGAATGTAAATGAAAGAAATAGAAATCTAAAATAGATCAAATGGGGAACCTGGAGGGTTGAGGAGTATCCATTAAGAAGTTTGGGATTAATATGATATTCATGCATGACCCATCCGGTCTTGGCGCGACCATTGTAAAAGACCAAAATCCTCTTGGTGCCTATTAAAGCCTTGGTGTCTCGAGTTTTTATCTCATCCTTTTGGCAAGTGATCTTCCATTTACCGCTTCTTGTCTGCCTTTTGATGCGT